CCCCAAAACCCCAAAACCCCAAAACCCCTCATTCCTTATCATCTATTGAATTTTTGATCTGGAATCACCTTCAAATTTCTTAATTCATAAAATGGAAACTCTACAAATTTTGGCGAACTTTAACCATAACCTACATCTACCCCTAATTTCCTTACACAAACAATCACTATTAGAAGAATTCTGAGAACTTGGAAGCTGAAAGGATCCTAGAGCGTTAGAAGAGGGAGCTTACTTTTGTTTAGGGCTTTTTAACCGGAATTGGTTGAGTTTTTGGGCGAGGATGAAGGATGAGTGGCACACCCCAGGGCTGGATTTTAGGGTCTTGAGTTTGTGATGGAGGCGGTCGAATTTGTGGAGAGTTTTGTGGAGGGAGGTTAGGGGGTCGTGAGGGGGGATTATGGGGCTGAGGGAGTGTTCAGGAGGGGGGAGGGGAGGTGGGCTTGAGGGGTTGGAGAATGTTTTGTACATGTTTGTGTTTGGGGAAGCTGGGGATGTGGGGATTGGTTTTTTAGAGATTTTTGTGCTGGTTTGCTTACATCTCTTTGCTCTTTTGTTTGCATCAAAAGTTTGGCTAGTAGTTAAAGTGGGGATTTTCTTTTTGCTAAGAGCAATAAATTTGGCTTTGTCTTTAGCTCTTTCAGAAGAGGTCTGCTTCAACTTCCATGTTATTTTATAATTAGATCCTTTGTTCTTAGCTTCAGCAGAGAGCATTCTCCAATTCTTGATTTTCTTAAAAGTAGGTGAAAACACTCTTCCCCTACGGATCTGAGGTTGCTTTCTTGAGAAGAAGAAGCTGTTCATTTTAGAGCACTTTCCTCGAGATTTTGGATCTTTCTGGGATGGACTGACTGAGTTGAAATGCTTCCTATACTATTGGTAAGTTATTGCAATAAAGTTGTAATAATTAACAATTGCAACCGATGATTCTGATAAAGAAATTTAGATAAGATTTTCACACGAATTAATTACTATTTAGATATAAAGAGTGCTTGTAATCGGAAGATGCTATCCAAAATGAATACTAACTAATCTATGTTGGCATTGATTTTTCTAATAGCTTTCTTAATCAATAAAGTATAGCTTCGCTCTTTAATAATCAAATTTGGTGAAAAGTATCATTTTGAAAGTTCAAAGAAAAATCAATGAGCATATCCGGACTTTAACAAGCTCAAGATTAACATAACAAGGTCTCTTGTTCACAGATATATTAAGGTGAATCTTTGAGACTCTTGAGTGAGGGACTGATTTAGTTATTGAACGAATTTCTTTCATCATTTAAATTTGTCAAAGCATCACCAAATTATATAATCCCAAGCCGTGCTGTTACTACAACCAGTTCCAGAATTTATTAGAAGAGACGATCATTGGTAAAATTTTGCTGCTAATTCAGAGTTTTAGGCATCTTTTAAGGCAACCGTAATTCAGAGATGTCAGTGCAGAATTTCGAAATGATGTTGCCAAATATTTGACCCGATGAAGAGTGAATTAGGCATTGAAAATTCATATACCTTTGTCAGATATTAAAGTCCTGGACTCTTCTTCTGCCTTTATGTGTTGCTTTTCGACCGGGTAGGGTACTTTCATTTATAAATTTCTTGATGATTTCCTATAAAACTCAGATTATATTTGAAAAGTGAAGTGGTGATATGTTATCTAACCAAGAGTATGAAACGTTTTATAGATGATTTTAGAATTCACCGAAAAAATTAGAGATATCTATATAAGATGGGACTTATTAATTTATGCCATGTTTCAAAAATCAAGAGTATTCTTCTTTTAAATAGATAAGAATACTTTCATTCTTGATGAATTTCTACTGTAAGATGCCAAGTAAACAGAGATATCCTTTTTTATTATTTACAATATTACTTAAGTGCATGAAACATTATCTTTACTAAAGACCCCGCCTTTGACAGAGCAAACACCCCAAATAAAACTTCTAGTAATCATAAACCCCTACCCGCTCCCACCCCCTCCTGGCCCTAGACTTAGCCTAAGGTTCCAAAATCCCTCTTCTAGCTCTAAATCTTAATGTCATCAAAACTTCACTAACTTCTTCGTATTCTGCCCCCGCTGTCATAATAGTCACTTTAAAGCATGATTTAAACCTTGGATTAAGAGAGGCTGCTTTGGAAGGATAATTTGGCAAATTTTAGAGTGGGAGGAAAAGGGCTTACCACGGGGAGGTGTGGGTCTTGGTGAGAGGAGGAAGGGTAGTGGGTTGGAGAAGTAGCCATTTTGAAAATTTGTGTGTTCAAATGGGGTTAACATTTAAGGGGTTTTGGGGTTTTGGGGTTTTGGGG